ACTTAAATTACAATGAGTGGATTTAGTCTCCGTAGGGGGTTTTGGTGAGGATACCCGTAGAGACTTTTCATTCTCGCCTACCGGTAGGCGGCTATATGCCTGCCCAGGAGGTGCCTCGCCTTTGAATGCTTCTTGGGAGACGACAAATGGTGCTGAGGTGAAATATTTCGAGTGGGACATAGGGCTAAAAGAAAATTAGGCCATCATATGAGACCTATTAGAGTAGGATTGGGAAAAAGGTGTGTATCATCATATGCATAATTATGATGTTTCCATGGTGTGGGAAGAGGATGAAAGGGAGGTCAAAAGTTTTCTTAAGGGACTACCGGTAGTCTACTCGTACTCGTAGTGGAGATTGACATGATTAGGGTACCGGTGTGGAGTTAAGGCATAATTGATAGGGTATGTCCGAGAGTGGTGATGTTTTGCTCTCGGGAATCTCCTGTTTGGCAGTCAACTTACGAGTAGCACGCGGGGATTTCTGCATATACCGGTAAGCCAGGAGAGTTTCTTACTAGTTAGGCAAGTTACAAGCGCCCCTCGATAACAATTGTTTAGATAGCAGCTCTTGCCTATCTCAATCTGGTTTCATCCATCTCCTTCGCTTATTCTGTGTCAGTAAATTTACCCCATACCAATTCGAGCCAAATTTTCCATCTTCTACATATCTCACGCCAGACCAGGAGGTCACAGAGCACATCAAAGTGCACAGACCCAACCCAGTACTCGTAGAGAACACCATCCACAAAAGGGAAGACCCGTCAAACCTCCACACCGGTATCTACCGCTATCATATGGCGAGGAAGAGCTTATCGGCAGCAGCCCGAATGGACCATGGTTGCAAATCCCCGCAGCACGCTTGGGCTAAGGCCGGTGAACCGTAGGATAGCACTTTCGTTACCCCAGCGACCCGTGCGCCGAACCAACTAAATCCGCCTAGTACGAGTACGAGTACTGGCAGCCTCGTACTAGAGTAGTCCCCTGTTTTGCTGATGCGGTGTGTGAGGTCTTGAGGGGAGAATTTCTCCGCGGTTGAGGTGTTGGGACGTGCCGTCTTTCCACAAGCTAGACTAACGGTGCCTCGCCTACCGGATGGTATTCCATTCAGCCCCGGCGCTGGTCTATGATACGGTATGCGGGTTTTTCGTCGGGTTGTTTGGTGTGTGATGCCCTTTTTCGCCTAGAAGTATAAGTTACTCGAGCATTACCCCCAGAATAAAAAGTCTATCCACAAGGTATTAACTTGTTTTGGTAGCACGGCAGTTACTCTCCCCGGCCCTGGCAGCCTTGATGATAGTTATGTCAATATCAACAGCTCGTAATATCAAACATCTCTTAACCTGGTGCTTCTAGTAGTCGAGAAGCGATGGGGGGGCAAGTGCAACTCTTGCAAGTAAGGTGTGCGACGGACTCTTGATCTTGGTGAGTAGGTGAGAACTTGAGGGGTGATTTCGGTTTTTATGGTATGGCGCTGGACAAAATGGTGAGTGACCGGACGAACGGTTCTGCTTCCTGCACTAGTACTCGTACTGTACAGTACTCCTGCCACAGTGGCTCCGGGATAGGCGATATGATACTGCTCTCTGAGTGGCCCAAGGAGTGCACTAGCCAATCATGCCTTCTTCGCCTCACTTACCCTTAACAACAAGGACCAAGGATAAAGGATTGGTAGGGAGCAGGGGTGTTAATGTCGATCTTGGTCGGAATTAGTAGTACTGTACTCGAGTACCGTATTCCCAGCAATCAACTCGCCTGAAAGTACAAGCCTTCTATTTCTCAACAAGAGCCTGGGTGAATCATTCTTTCGATAGATGTATCGAATTGGAGGCTAGGCACCTAATTTATCAACCATTTATGCACCGTACAAATATTTTATCCCTAGCCTTTTGTAACGCCGGGGAACAGACACAATGATGAGGGGCCCTGGCACTTACCTTCCTACATCACAAAGAGCACTTTTTTCTCGGACTCGGGGCCGAATTCCTGATAAGGTGTTTGGCGCGATGCGGCGCGATGTAGAGGTTCTACGGGTACTGCATTTCAGGCTGTACTCGAGTATCGTGTTGTGTGATGAGACACCTTGGTTTATGATGCAATTTGACAAAACCCAGGAACGGAACAGGAGACAAGAGTCTTGGTGGGGCAACGGTCACCGCTTTTAGTTCGCCTCTAGGCTCACAGTAATTCCGGCTACCGTCCTCTACTACGGTATCATGCAATCTGGTACAGTTTGTTACAGCCCGGCTTGAGGTACTCGAGTACCGTACTCGAGTAGGGGGAGAGCAGTGATTGCCCCATCCAAGGCTCTAATACTTCCAAGAGAAAGGTGGGGCTGTTGGCTGAAGTTGCAAAGTGCGGGATGCTGTTACCTTGGAAAATTATCAATGCTACCATAGTGCTTGCACCTTTCTCGCTCCATCGAGCACGATACTGCTCGAGTATGTCGACAATCTCCATACCACTACTCGAGTACCGGCAAGCCACCTCCAGTGCCGGTGGGGCAATTTATTTTTCCAGTTCGAAGTTCGTGAACCGCGAATCTCCTGTTTGAAGCGTACCGAACCGACGCGGTGGGGCTCCCTATTACATTTACTATTGTGTGCCAAATTTCAGCAGCGTTGAATGGTTGGACACTGGAGATACAGTGTTCAACGGGGCACGACGAAAAGCGGAGGATAACGAAAAGGGCCATTTGGGAGGCAAGTGTGAATTGGTCAAAGTAGGGTAACAGGTTAATACCTGTTACCGATCCTTGTTCGTCACCCCCGTAACTCGAGTACAGTAGCGGTAGAGAGCAGATGAAAGGAAAAGAAGGCAGGAAGGAAAATATGGGAAAAAGAAAAACCGTTCGATCCCTTTGATTTTCTACCTACCTACCGGTACGGTAGTGCGGTGCAGTGTTGTGCGGTCCTGTCCCAACCCCCAGCGCAAGTACCGCAATAAGACAAGACAATACAAATGCTCTCTCCGAAGCGTGTCCTGCCTCCTGTCAGCCAGGCGTCTTCCTCATTTTTTAATCTTCCTCGCTACACTACCGGTAGGACAAGTGGGTTCGCGTTTCCGAAGCTCAAGCCTCAAATGCGGGGCTACTAGCGCGAAAGTCAAGGCAAGCAAAGGAGTTTTTGGAGATCCGTGCTGTGCTGTGATCCTTTTATTTATTTATTTTTATTTTCTTTGCTTTTGTTTGTCCTTGCACGCTAGCAGGCGAGCAAGCAAGGGATCAGATCAGTAAACTGCAATATTGGTGCTTTCGATCTATTCCGCGGTTGCGGTCGCTTTCGATTTTGAGTCTGCTTTCGGCGTAGGGTTTGGGTTTGTGGATCTTGGAGGAGGGGGAGAGGAGGAGAGAGGGAGAGGGAGAGGGAGAGAGGGAGAGGGAGGTCAGGTGCTGTTTGCGGAAGTAAGGGTCGTCGGGGTTGGCATTATGTTACGAATGCCGATACTGTGGATGAAGATCGGAAAGGGAAGGGATTGGCATCTTTCTCTTCACCATGTTATTCATTCATTAGAATCTCATCTTTCCCAATGCGGAAAAGATGGGATTTTTGAGAATCGGCATGTTTGGTGGATCCCTGGGACGTTGTGCTAAAATTTGATGTGAGACGGGGGTCTGCCATTCGCTGCCAGGGGGCAGAGCACAGCACAGCGCAGCCCAAGAGAGAAGATTAGATTCGGACCAGCACAGTGCCAATGCAGCGAATGAATGGACTGATTTTTTACCCTACTATGGATTAACCTCTATCCATGGGCTAACTTAGCACCGCCGAGATAAAAAAAAGAGAAAAAGAAGCCAGGACCACTACTGTATTGTACTCGTATGATATGCCCAGGCTACTGTATGTAAGGTGAGTCTGCGGAAGTCTGGACCATCGGCAGGGAGGGAGACACATGCTGCCTCGCCAACGGCTGGGAGGAAGGTGGTCAACATCTCTCCTCTCATGTGCCCTGTAGCAGGCGGGGCTCTCATTTTTTCCTGATGGGGGTCAACATCAATCGCGGTCCTGCTTTATGGCACCGTTTCAAGGTACTCGAGTAGAGTGCAGCGCGAGTGCGATGCCGGTATGCTCTTGGGAACAGAGTACGGTACCGTACTCGAGTATGGACTGCCGGTGCGATATCATGCTATGAATGGAAGGGTGGTATCACACAACATGGCATTCGTTCCGATGCGAATGATTTCCTTTTCTGCCTTTTCCTTTCCCCCTTGTGCATTGCCGCTCCAGTGCGAGTGTTACTCCCTTGCCCACTTTTGCGGGACATGGCTTGGAGGTGTGTTCGTGTTCTGATAGAACGGACGCTGTAGATGTTCAGCCGCAAGGGAAGGAGGTTTGAATTGTACTCCTCTGCACGCTGCACCTATCATGTTGTATGGGGTCTTTGGAGTGAATGGTATCATATGGCGAGCTTGCGTCCGCCTTATCTCCCCTTTCGGTCTACTTGCTTTCACCTTTCGCCCAGTGGATAGGCATGGCCACACCCTTCTTCACTTGCCGACTCTCTTTCCACGGTCGTCTTCTGTTAAGTTATCTCTCCCAAGAATTATCATAGCTTTCGGTTTGTCCGATTTCGCCTGCTATCGTAGCTTACGCGCTAACTACTCGAATACTGTAATAATAGCTAAGGAAAAATAAAATAAAATAATTGATTGCCCCGTCCGGCAAGGCATGTGGAGAAAGAGCGGCCGTCGTTGTGGACGCTGTTGTGGTTTTTGCCAGGTCTTCCCTCACACACGCTGTCCCAATCTCTCTTGACAACCCTTTTTTTCTTCTTTCCTTTTTTCTATTGCTATCATACCTGCTCACCCCCGGATCTTTCATCCTTAGGGGCTGAGGCGGATTCGCCAATCCTGCTCGCCTGTTTTTCACTTGAGAGTGAGTTGAGTTAGTCCTCTTTCGTGCCCATCAACCTGTCAACTGGTGTAAGCAGACTGCCGTAAATATTCGTGCTTTCCACTCCCACTCTCTTTCCCGTCCCCCCCCCCCACACACACCCCCTCCACACACCTCCTGTGCTTTTCTTTTCACTGTTTTTTCTTCCCAACTCATTCAATCTTTTTTTCCCCGATTCTTTTCCATCTCACTTTGTCCGCCCTTCTTCGACTCACTCTCCGAACCTGCTGATGGTTGAGAGGGACAAGTTCTTTTCCTCCCAAGTCTGAACTGCAGATCCGCTGCGAGGAGGAGTATCGGGCCCTTCGGATCCTTCGCCTAGCTTTCGAAAGCGACATAGGCGCGGCAAGTGGCCAGCAAACATGAGGATTCGCATTCGTGAACAGCTCAGTTTATTGGTCGCTCTAACAGCGCTGATAGCGGTTGGTGTCTTGGCCGTTGTAACAGTGAGCTACAATCTCTCCATCCATCCGTAACCCCGCCAAACTAAATCAAACTTTTGACCTGGTGCCCCACAACAATTTCTAATGAGAGCAGTGGGTTCACAATTACCGACTAGTCCGTGAAGTTCGGTCATCGAGATTCTCGCTCACAGCCTCGTTAAAATCTATACAGGTCACCCAGTCAATTGCCCTGCTACACAACACCGTATATGCCATCAGCACTAGGGCCATCTTGCAGAGTTCTTTACGGAGGTACCAGAGGGGGAACAATACTGCGGATAATTGGCTACGGGCCATCGATGACTTGAAAAACTCGGCTAGTGCTAGTATAGGAGGCTTCCCGTATGTCCTGCAGGTGGTGGTCTACGATGAGAACCTTAGCAGCGGCATGGTTGGGGTGCCCGATGGAGCGGTGATCGACGGAATGCAACTTAGTGCTACGAACCCAAACTTTACCGGCAGACTACCGAATGGGACGGAGATAAAGGTTGGGAGCGGGCTGGGTGGCAGAATGGGTCTGTTGAATGTTACGGGGGATAATGCTAATGGGGTTATGCTACCCGCCAACCCGGCCAATGGAAAAATGACCTACCCAATGGTTCTCGCGAATTCATCTGCGGCTTACTACGCCGAGGCTGATGCAAATTTCACTAAAGGACTGCCAGTGAAGGACGGTTTTCCGCATACACTGTACCCTTTTTTGCATGGCAGTCATGCACTTGCTCCGAGCAACGTGTTTACCCCGGAGGATATATATTCTAGAAAGGGGCTGTTGCTGGGTCCGATGAGGGTTAATGAGTCGTTCTACATGCTGTCGTTTACTGTCCCAGTCATCAATAACACTAGCGAGGCGACGTTATTGGGGTTTCTCACCGTCGTACTTAACGCCGGTGTAATACTGGATATTGTTCGGGATACGCGTGGCCTGGGGGCTACGGGTCAAACAATATTGGTTGGTCCGGCTACAATTAACAACAAATGGGAGAATCCCACTCTCTCCGCCACTTCCGAAATGCCGAATACGACCAAAAACGGCCAGTCGGATCACACAAGAACCGTTAGGATGACCAAGAGGAACTCTTTCGATTGGGATGTGGGTTCCCCCGGGTCGACGGCTAGATGGGTGGGAAGGACGTTGGGTCTTCGAAGGAGGGCTCCTCCTGAAGATATAGGAGACTATGAGTTCCGATACTTGCTCCCACCAGGCAGGAATCCGGAGCTGGCGGGGGAGGTTCGTAAGCTGAAGGATTACTCTATGATTGAAAAGGTATACCAGGACGGGATTGGTGTGAATGGACGGGATGGTGATAGTGGTGATGGGGGAGGGAGTAATCTCGACACGAGGAATTCCGAGGACCGGCTTGTTAGCGTTGGGTATGGCTTCCCTGCTTCCGTACCCCCCTCCCTGGCTAACAGATTATAGCTTTTCCATCACGGAAGTCGTCAAGAATCTCGCTGATTGGGCCCTTTTGGTGGAGCAAGACCAAGAGGAAGCCTTTAAGCCGATCTACAAGCTAAGGAATATATTGCTGAGCACCGTCTTCGGGACCTTCGCTGTTGTTATTGTCCTGGTGTGTCCGGTAGCTCACTTTGCCGTCAAGCCTATAACCAGATTGAAGCGCGCAACAGAGAAAAGTAGAGAATTTTCTGATTCTCATCCTACTCGTCTGAGCCCAATACCATTTACACTGAGTGCTGACACCCTTTCCCCAGGCACCCGACCGCCTTCGTATAGCCTCGATAGCGGATCATCCGGCACCATCGATTCCTTTGATCCCGAGGCCAACCTGGAGAATTCGGCAGATAGGGACCGAGGGCGTAACCGGTTTTATGGAATGGGGGAGCTCATGCGGTGCCGGCATCCTAGAAATGATAGTTCTCAGAGCGGGGATGGGAGCGATGATCAGCGAAGACGGGCATTCCGGATCCCCGGCAAAGTGCAGGAAAGGAAACATTTTGTCGATGATGAACTTACCGACTTGACGCGGACGTTTAACGAGATGTCTGAGGAACTTGTGAAGCAATATGTGAATCTCGAGGAGCGGGTCGCCGAGCGGACCAAAGAACTTGAGGAGCAGAAGAAGGTTGCTGAGTCAGCTAACCAGGCTAAGTCACTCTTCGTAGCTAATATCACTCACGAACTGCGGACGCCATTGAACGGTATTTTGGGTATGTGCGCTGTTTCCATGCAGGAGGATGATCTACCAAAGATCAAGCGGTCACTTGGCGTGGTTTATAAAAGTGGGGAATTGCTACTGCATCTTCTCACAGATTTATTGACTTTCTCGAGGAACCAAGTGGGGCACATGGCTATATCGCTGGACGAGAAGGAGTTTCGGATGGCGGAGATATCGGCGCAGATCAAGGCTATATTCGAAACCCAAGCAAATGAGTCTAAGATCGATTTCAGTGTTAGCATTGCCCCAGAGAAGAGGGTTCAGGAGATGGTATTTTGGGGTGATTCGAACAGGATACTCCAGGTTTTGATTAACCTGGTTAGCAATAGTCTTAAGTTCACTCCGTTAGTAAACTCCCGACCTCTTTTTGTTGTGTTGCTGATATTAGAGTAGAGAAAACGGTGCCGTTCATGTTCGGATGAGGCTATTACAAGAGGTGCTTCCCGTCCCCGAGGAATCTACAATACTGCGTGGCAGCTCTAGGACCGGATCCAAGCATGACCACGGGTCAAAAGCTGTCTCCCGGATTAATTCTACTAACACCCCTCGGAATGGGTCACCCGCTGTTAGTAGCCCTCCGCCAACCAGCCAAGCAGCTAGTCCCCCCACCATCGAGAAAGTTGGTGACCATGTTCTTGGGGATGGGCCAGTGCTAGCCCCGCCCCCAAATTCCAAGACATATATGTTCGAATTTCAAGTTGAAGACACAGGCCCTGGCATCCCGGAGAACCTCCACCAAAAGGTCTTTGAGCCGTTCGTTCAAGGTGATCTCCGCCTAAGCAAGAAGTATGGCGGAACGGGCCTCGGCCTAAGCATCTGTGACCAACTCGCAAGATTAATGCAAGGCACTATCGAGCTCAAGAGCCTGGAGAAGGCCGGGACAACTTTCACACTGAAAATTCCTCTAAAACAGGCAAAAGAGTACACCCCAAGCGTCGGCGCCGTCTCGCGATCCAATTCACCAGCTGGTTCCGCCGTCGCAACCTTTGACAAAGCGGTGCCCGAGACGGCATCTGCCAAAAGCGTCCAGAGTGGTGTCTCCTTTGGGAAGAATCACAAACCACGTCTGGTGGGCCTGAGCCAGCCATTCTTCGCCCCCAGCATACCGCCGAACCAGGCGCCCAACCAGGAGCTATCCGAGAGGGCTCTGGACGGCGCGGTATGCGAGCGCGGAGGGGATGAGGACACGGGGAGGGTTCGAGTGCTGGTCGCGGAGGATAACAAGGTCAATCAGGAGGTTGTGCTCAAGATGCTGAGGCTCGAGGAGATTTACGACGTCACAATTGCAAAGGATGGGCAGGAGGCTGTGGACAGGATTAAGGAGGCATTGGATGTTGGGAAACATTTCCAGCTTGTGCTTATGGATATTCAGGTGTTTTTCTCCCCTCCCCACACCCGGTCACTTTAGCAAGTGTTAACAATGAATAAAAGATGCCCAACCTCGACGGCATAGAATCCACGAAAATAATCCGCCACCTAGGCTACGATGCACCGATCGTAGCATTGTCAGCCTTTGCCGAAGAGGGCAATGTTAAAGACTGTAACCACCCCCCCCCCCCCCCCAACCACATAAATGCTAACTTGACTTGCGCAATAACAAAAAAGGCCTGGACGCCGGCATGAACTACTTTCTAGCAAAACCCATCAAGCGGCCCGAACTCAAACAGGTGCTAAAAACTTACTGCCCCACTATAAAAGAAGAGTGTGCGTTTTCCACAGAACAGCATGCTGAGGGGTCCGCTTCTGTGAGGACAACCCCGATGACTACGCCTCCCATGGAGACGGCGGAGAAGATGAGTATTGGGGGGCCGATTGATTGTAGTGGTGGGATTTTAGGAAGGGGGAGGACGTAAGGGGCTGAGTGTATATATGCTCCTCTCTCCCCCTTCGCACACGATTGAGAAGAGATTTTCCTTTTTGCCTTGGGATTTTTCCCCTTTTTTGACCATTTTCGCCCACGCCCGGGCGCCCTTGGGAGCTCTACTGTAATTTTACTCTTTTCCCCTCCTTTTCCCCCTTCTTTTTCTCATTCTGGCGTACTTTCGGCAACTTGCTTTTTTTCGGGGTGTTTCCATTTTTTCCCTTTTTCATTTTCACAATCACTCGGCCCAACGGACGGGGGATTACGTCCTTTCCTTGGGAAAAATCAGGAATAGCTTCGTGGATTTCTTTTGGGATATTATGATAAGTTATGGTATTGGGTATTCATTATTTCTCTCGGTTTAGTAAGTAAAAGGGGAGACTACTTTTTTCTTCTCTTTCCTCCTCCTTTCTCCTCTCCTCTTCTCTTCCCTCATGGTTTTTGGGGAATTTTTCATCTTCCCCCACCACTATCGAAAGGGATGAGTTCGCTAGTTAGACGTACAATACTCGAGCACTATACATACATACCTACAATAGTAATATGGTAGTTCATGGCATGTTATGTTGTGACATGATTATGGGCTCATGGCTGAATTGGTATTATACCTACTATGATACCATTAGGTAGTATGGCACTTGATCAAAACGCTTCGTCCGATGGCCTTTCTATGATACACCGAAAGTATTCATTTTTTAGACTACCCCCCACTCAGATAACATCAATGAATATGAGAATCCATCAAAATTCCATGTTATTGTACGTTATTAAATCCATGGATAACGTAAAGCCCTGGAGAGGGGATACGGGCTAAGAGGGAGATATGTGGTTGCTATGTATAGCATGCCATTTTCCATGGTCTCCAGAACACTATTTTTGAGTTGAGAACTCAATCTCAATTTTTTCTATATTTGTACTTCCATGGGAGCAAGCCCGAGGTGGTTCCCCAGGTGGTGCCCAATTATTTTTAACAAGCTAGAGCGGGGGGGGGGGTCGTCTCTCCTAACACCGATTTTTAGCCAAATTTGGTGTTAAAAACCCATGTCCGACGGAACATTTTGATTGGGTATTCGAGTACTACAGTTACCTCTATGGGCTATAATATCACACCATGACATCGTGTACTGTACAACCGCCAAAAAAAAAAAAAAAAACGGTCGACATCACACCATTCAGTCGAACTCTTTTTTACCGCCCCAGGAAAAAGGTGTTCACGGGCCGACGCCCATAAACATGAAACCCTTTCACCCAGGCCCACAAACCACAGTGAACAGGAAAGCATAGCCCCAGGAGAGAAAATCCGATAACGAAAGATAACTCCAAGACCCCCCCATAAAATGGAGCAAGTGCGTGTGAACAGTGTGAGTTATACCTTGGCTCAAAGCCACAGCACACTTCGCCATATATCGCCCGCCAAAACAGGGCTAAGCCGAGGGGAGGGGTAGCCCTGTTTCGCCGAATACGTAGGCATCCCTCCACGCGCGATTCACCCGGAACTTCAACACCCCCTCCCCGCCGCTACCGGAACGCCACACCCCGCATTGCATTCACCATAACTCTGCTATCATAGCTATAGCCGTAGCTAACTGGCGGCCATTGTAGAGGGGACGGTTTGCGTGGGCGCATGTACCGTATTTCCAATGATGTTATGGGCAGGCTTGGCCGGATCATGTGTGCCCTCACCGGGTCATCGAGGAGGAGGATATATCATTACTATTCTTGTGCGCATGCGTCTGAGGGGGGTTTATGCATGGAGATTGGAAAATGAAAGGGATAAGTCTTGGTATGGGGATGTGCGATAGGGGATATAGTCTAAGTGGGGAGTAGTCTAGGTAATATCTGAGCAGCTGTGACTGGACGCGGAAATCAGTATTTCTGTTTTCAAAGTTTGAGGTGCAAATCTCACTATAAGTATTACTTGATGGTCTAGTCTACCAGTCAGTCAGGTTTACAGTTCCGATTCCGATCTCGGCGGTGAAATGGGATACCATCATGGTATTATAAGGTATTATCAAATGGCTTAGGAGTAACTCATCGGTAGAACCACTCTATATAGCCTCGAGTAAATAGAGCTATTAGGACAACAGTTCATTTCTGACCATCTTAACCTCTCAGTGGGTATCACCCACCCTTATATACCCCGAGAAGATCTAGTGGTTTTCCCCTCTTCGTTACTACAAGTATCATAAACTGAGCTTTTTTTTTTTTTTTTTTTTGAAGAGCTCTTGTAGCAATTCTTGAGAATGTATTCTCAAAGAGAGAGTAGGAAATGAACTTGATAGAGTTGCTCCATCTGCCCACTGGAAGCCCTCCTACCAATAGAGGACTGGGTAGGGGGGAAGGGGAGTTTTGCCTACATACGTATCGGTTCAATCAGATGGCTTTACCTGATGTCTGCTTACATGCGAGAGATGTAAATTTAACTCATTGGAGTGGTCCGCATCACGAAGCCACTACAAGCCAACTGTGATTACTAATCTGGAACATTCCGCGCTTGCGATGATAATGGCTCACAAGCCAAGAAACCGAAAGTTGTCTTGCCCCACCCCAAGAGAATCATAAACGATCACCCAGGGCAAACACATCATCCAGATGATATTTTTTTCCACCATAACACTCCCCCCCCCCTCCCACTCCATTCAGTTGAACAGGAAAGAAAAGGAAAGAACACTACTATACCAACAACCCTCTGCCTCCAAAACCGCAAAACGTCCAGTCCACCAACGCCCACCCCTCCTCCCTGCGCTCCTCATGACAAATCTCCAATCCAACCCTACACCGCGTTTTTCCCACTTTGTAGATAATGCCTTGAGCGGTTGCCCCGATCAGTGAGTTAGTTACCCCACCCCCGGCTAAGCCCGGATGCGAAAGTCAGGATTTCGAAAAGGATGGGCACGGAGTTTCCCACGTGGGGTGGGGGGGAGGTCTGCGGACTATCCTATTCTCGGTACTTCTTGTGGAGTGATGCTGCAGATGCTAGCGCTGTTGTTTTTGTTGTCGTCTCTGGGCATCCGCTCTTGTGTTGAGTCTTGGTCAAAAGTGGGAAATGGGAGCAGGTACGAGGGCCTTGGTTGCGTGGTTCCGCACGCCTCCTCGTGTATGTGCGGGGATGATCCGGGTGTGTTAGTGTTAGCTTTTGGGCTCGGGAGCACCTAATGGGCCGGGGAGCTTATACCGCCGTGTGCTGAGGACTACTGCAATGTAGAGTATTAGAATAACCAGGTCCTGGAAGGTGGAAAAGTGCGGATCGAGGGGGATGGTAAGGTGCACTTTCCTAAACTCTCCATACAGGCCAGGGCGATAGTTATGGGCCTTTTATACCGACACATGGAGCACCAGAGCTTACTACTTAGGTACACCGGCCCCTACATAGTATCACCCTCAACCAATGGCTAACGGCAGTCCGTATCTGTTCCCATATTACCTCTCGATTTTCCCCCGAAGCTTAGTACTGAATGTCAGTAAGTAGAGAAAGAAGCTTTGTCACGAAACATGTTTTAACCCCGAGAAAGCAGCGATACCATTGGCCAGCATTACTGAAACCATGTTTTCCTACCACTTGGGGGGGAACTCTAGATTGGGACAACAAATATAGCTAGCCGGGTCCCGGAGACAAGATAGTTAGCGCGTTACAATATCGCAGGCTCTCCCCTGCCTTCAAAATTATGCAGATCAACGACATTGGAGTACAATTGTCTGTGGTTTATAATAGGCACAGGTACGTGGCCATTTGACGTAAGCATGTATACTACTGGCTGTCCCCCTCCCCCCGTGGTTGCTGAGGTGGTATATAAAGACTACAGCAGGTACCCACGCTTCGAAATCTTTTTTTTCTCGACCAAAAAAAAAAGCCATGATACAAGATTCCTCACTCGAGCAAAAAAAAAACGACTAGCGAATATCATACCAATCCGAAGTTTCCCATTTTCCCAAATTTTTATATGATCCAGCATCCTCAACTCGTCCGTTTTGGTCGGGCAACCGGGGTCCGTATTTACGTCGAAACAGAGGAGCCCAACTACGAGGGAAAAAACATCTCCGAGATCACATCCAATTTCCCCGACCCCCCCCCCCCCGCGCAACCCGTCCTAGGGTGTACTCTGGATTTCCTCAATCATTATCTCCCATCTGGAGGAGAGACAAACTTGGACAGACCCAAGATCCCGAATCAGCGCTCCGTCCTTCCCCCACGCACTTTGGTTGGCTAGCCTCTCACCGAACTTTCCAAAAGAAACTGGCCGACGGGTAAAGCGGGCCGCATCGCTCCCTCCGACAATTGGAGGACGGTATTGGTACTCGAGTACAGTATCTCCCCCACTCACTTTTAACGCACTCGAGACGCTAACAAAATCCGGGGAAGTCTCAAGCAAAATGAAACCGCCCTACGAACCCCTGCCTTTTTATAAAATAAAAATAAAAATAAAAAAATAAAACACAACTCAGCAAACTACCGTGCCGACTAACTACCGTATTCTACGAAGAAACTTTCTCCGAAAGTTGGGCACTTTTTGATCAAAGCAGACTTTAATTCCCCGAATCTTGGCAAAATCTTTTAACTTACGGCGACAGTACCGGGTTGGGTTCCGATATGCACGTCACGTGTAGTAAGCTGCAGGAACTGCCACGGGATTGGTCCACGAGTAGGGTACAGTACCGGTACCATTCTGGTAGAGTCAATCACGAACTTCCATACCCGAGCTTTAATACTCGAGTACTTGGCTTTTTCTTTAGTGCCAAGAAGTCCCCCCCCTCCTGCATCATATCATATACTCGATTTGGGAGTTTGCGTGCAGACAGGTTACCGGAACTGGGATTCACAAGTTTATGGGACGTCGTGAGGGAAGGGAAGGGAGGGGGATAAACTGACTATTCGGCCTGAGATCGGGACTCCTTGGAGATACTGTACTAGCGGAAAAATCCCCGAATTCAAGGAAGGATCCGGAGTTTCCCGCCCGAGTGAAAGGCCATGAAGCGGGCACGTCCGGCACCGGATGAAGCAGCCAGGTCAACCGGCTTGTACTGTACTAGTACTTGTAGCTGCTGTGGCTGATGTCAGGGAATGAGCGCCGAAAAATCACTTGGTACAACATACCGCACAAGATAGCAAAGGCACCGCCCGACAGGTGTAAGAATTCTAGGGGCATATATGGGAATCGGAGCATCCAGGTTTAACCACATTCATCCAGCGCCACAGATGTATGACAGTGTTCGGAGAGTTTATTTTGTTACTGAGCGTGCATAACCGTATGTACTCGAGTATTGACCAACCTATCTCGAGTTCCTGGCTCTGGTGCATGGGGGCTAATGCACTACGCTCATTGCATCATAGCTTCCCGCATTCCCTTGGCTCAAAGCATGTTCTTCTCGTCAAAACTATCATACCGCCAACCACAGCCCCAGTGGCCCTCACAAGCCATCACTCGAATTAGCGAGCCTGCCAGCACATTATCTAGGTTATGTACATATAAACTAAAGAGATGAAGGAAAAAGCATTAAAAAGTAAAGCATTCGTTAGAGAAGGATTCAATGAGATTGGACCTCGACGACAACCCCAACGGCACTGGTTCCAGCCGTTCGGGCTATCTCCTGTACAGCCAGCCAATCCCTCCCATCCTCAAGGTCCACAACATAAGTCTTGCCCCCAACTATCTCAACCTCCACGCCGTGTATTTGAGCCTCGGATGCAAGGTGAAATTTCTTGCGGACCTTTTCAAGAAAAAGTGCAAGGGTAGGTGTATCCGAGGCATAGATGATCTTCATCTTTTCCGACGGCGGAATGCGGGTTTCCAGAATCAGGCCAAGCGTAGCGGAGGGCGCAGAAGGGGCCTCCAACGGGCGGGGGGCGATCCAGGGAGGAGGGGGATGAGCACGTGAGGTGCGTGGGCGTTTCGGTGGCGTAGGATTGACCTCCTCGTGGGGGTTTTGCGGTGGGTGTTTCCTCACAATGGTGGGGGTATCCGACGGTTCCGTTGGTGGGTTGACGGGCGGCTTCTTTGGCCGCCCAGGACCCCGACGTGGCGCCTCCAACGGTGTCAAAGTATTGGTCGCGGCGCTGGATGTGTCCTCCACCTCCTCCGTACGGGGATTCGGTGCGGAAGAGGGAGAGGGTATGACGTTTGCGCTTTCGCGAGGGGTCGAGGGAAGAGTGGCCGCCCTAGGAACGGTCGCGGTGCTAGTCGACACATTTGGAGCATTCCCCATTTCCTCGTCCTCTTCGTCCTCCCTCTTCGGCCTCGCGCGGCTGCTTCCCGCCCCGCCATCCGTATCCTCGCTCCCACCAGCCCTCTGAGCACGCCGCTTCCCACGTTCAACCCCGGCCATCTCAATAACCTGCGGTCTGAAGATCCTGCGAACACTAAGCGCCCCACGGAAAGAAAAGCGAATCACGCACCGTTAGCATTCCTCAATTGGCCAAAGAGGAGAATAAAAAAGGGAAACAGCGCGAGGAGTCCAAAAAGATGAGGAAAAATAAAAAAGCAAGAAAGAATCAAACTAACGCCACACGATCAGTCTTGGGCCAGTACTCCCTCGCGACTCTCTCGGCAAGTTCTTCAAACCAATCGTCCCACGCGGTCCCGTGCACTGAGGGGCCTTCGAGGCCAATTGTGCTAGTGTTCAGGGCTTCTATAACTGTCGAGCGTAGGCCTGCCCATTCCTCCTCTGAAACGTGGCAAGCCTCTAGACTGCTGAGGCGCCAGGGAACGTAGACCATTTGCCTTCAATTGGTGCGGGGATAGGCGGTCGAATGGAATAAATTAAGGTTCGTAGCTGTCGTTTGGGTATGATGACGACGATGCATACACGGATCCGGCGGGGGGGGGTAAGAGCAGGTGGTGAAGGTGGAGGAAGTGGTGGGATGGAGGGAATGGAAATAGGGTGAATAATAGGCAGGTACGGTAGGCGGTAATGGTTGGGCAGAGGAGCGGGTGGGTAGGGTGGGTACTCGAGTAGGTAAGGCAGGGCAGGTAGGTAGGTGTGATGGAGAAGGTAGTGTAGTTAAAGCAGGCAAGTAGGCGAGTGGGTAGGTATGGTTCCAGTGACCTCGTTACTCGCGTTCGGCAAGTCTCTCTGCCCACCGTCTACTGTGGCAGAGGAGAAGGGAAGAGGGGAGGGAAGAGTTGTGATGGGATGGGAAAAAATGCGATGTGATACTGGGTGCATTGCTAGGCGAGATACAGAAGGATAGACAGGGGTGGACAAAGAGGTTTAGATCCGTTTGAAAACGGGTCGAAGGGCTTGAATGAAGTTGTGGAGTCTTACCCCTCTCGAACACACTTGTTCCAATTCCACTCCCACCCTTTTCACTCCACGAGTTACCGGCAAAGCGTGGGAAACATTCTCACCCATGAAATGATACATAGCTTAGCTACAGTACGATAGATCCCCCCCCCGAGAGAGAGGAAAAAAATGCCAACTCGCAAAGGCCAACCAGACACACACACCACCACCACCACCACCACCACCACACCCCAGCGACCCCATCCATCCTTTCCCACACCCCATCCCAACAGCCTCCCCTCCCCCCCCAAATCCTCATAAAAATCTCATCCACCCATCCCCCCCCCCCCCTCAACCAATAACCCAATCCTCACCGACAAGCCTTCCTCTTCCTTCCCTCCCCACTCACCAATTTCAACAACTCATCCACAACACATCACTTTTCATTACATCTTATCACAACCAAAATGGAAAAAAAAAATTAAAATAAAGTGTGTGTGCGTTGGAATTACGGTATCATACTGTGCGAGTAAACGCAGTGGTACATCCCCCCCCGTCAATTCAATCCAATTCGACCAAAATTAAAATAATAAAAAATGTTCCCAAAACCGGTAGTTGCGAGAGTAAACTCATCACGTACTGTACTCGAGTAGAAGAAGGGCGGAATCAAGGATTGAGGGGTGACAAACGGTGCACCATTTCCACCGGCAAGATAGGATACGGAGGATATTGTACTGTGCTCGAATACAAGACGAGCCAGATATGATATAACAAATCCCCCCCCCGCCGGCCGGCAGGTGGCTCTGCCTCATCTCCGCGAGCGACTAACCAACTAAGCTCGTATGTAAATTCCTCACATCCCGCCCGAAATTTCGTTCGTCAAATTTTTACTGTCGATTTATCCGCTTTTTTTTTTTTTCCTCTCTCTCGCACCTTGATATCGATACCAATATTTGTCGTGCTTGTATCATACTTACCGCGCCGGGATATTTGTGCAGTATACCCTGGGCCGCCCCGAATTGCTCTCTCAATTGCTCCGATCACTTGTTGCTCACCATAGGATACATACCTGCCCGCCCATGACATCTTCCCACCGCTTACCGGTCGGTGCTCGAGTACCGTACTACCGTGCCGACACCGACACAAGTAAAGAACTTCCACCATACCGACGGAACACAGACTACGCATACACACCAAGTCCCGTGACGACCCACCAACCTGGCCCACGCTTCGCGTCTCCCTTACTTACCGTGACCCCCCGCTGGAAAGGGAACAAAAAAAAGAGATTGGGGACCCCCCAAATTTGATTTCGCTTTTTGCTTTTTTTCTTCCTCTTGATATTTTATTTTAAATTAAATTACATTTTTTGTTGGTTTTTTTTTTTTTTTTTGCACCCTACGAGTACGAGTATGATACAATACATGTGCTCGAGTACTGTACTGTACCTTCTAAATCTCTCATTTTTTGGTTTCTCATTTTAACCCTAAAATTAAGGGTGGAAATTGATCTTTATCGCTTATTTTACCATTATCTTACTGTGGCAAATTATTATTTATTTATCTATTCGGTGCAAGTTCTAGGTTGGGTCTTTTTTTCTTTTTTTTTTTTCTTCTTCTTTCTTTTCCTTTTTAGTTTTGTTTTATGATACAAAGTGAGGACAGGGATACCTACTTTGTTTCCCCCAGCCCCACCATGTTGCACTTGTACAAGTACTTGTATGATACTCTTTACAAAGTCTGAAAAATCGTATGATATCTTTCGCTTTCTCTCTCTCTCTCCCTCCCTTTTGCCCGCTCATAAATTCTCACCCGTTCTCGGTTACCGTTTTTCTACTTGTACCTTGTACTTGTATGATATCTCCCTTGTCGTATACCGGCACTCCTTGGCCACGATGGCAGTTATCGTGGTACAAAGTAACAAGTACTTGCCGACATGACAACCGCTTCCCCTCCTTTTTCTCCCTCCCTGCAACCCTTCAAAACCGTTGAATTGGGAAAGGGAAAGAAATACCATTTGTATACCGTAGTATCATAATTGAAAAATAAAATATAATACTAAAAAATAATAATAATAATAATAATAATAATAATAATAATAAAAACTACCGAGCGCTTTGAGGACCTCATTCTAATTACTGGGACGACAAAAAAAAAAAACGTGAACCATCCCATCTTTTTTTTTTTTTTTCCACGCTTTCCTCCACCACCACAACCACACCTGCGATCATCCCTGAAATGCGACCCGGCGGGAGGTCCGACCCGAAGTTTTGGTGAAAGGGAAAGGGGAAAAGAAAAAAAAAAAAAAAAAGAAGTGAGAGTGAGAGTGAGAGTGAGTTTGCTGGGCTATAATCCGCTTACATTTATCATACTCGGCCATTTTCCTTCCACCTTGGGTGTGGTTGTGGTGGTGGGGGGGGAGGGGGTTTTGCAAGCGGAAAGCTACAAGTACGAGTACTTTATGAAACCGGAGCGATGTTATACTTATCGTAGCGGGAACGAGTCATCCTCCCCGGAACTGTCTCGCCGAGATAGCCAGCTGGCTAGTAAGTCCCGAGACATGAATCAGTCAGTCGGAGAGTCCGAGAATCCATCGATTATGGTACTTGTAGTCTATTATGAAATAAGGGTTCAGGTTGCCTCGCCATGCAAGTCATCTCGGCCACAGAGATTGAGTTGAGTGAGAGAGTGGGTGGGGGGGGGTGTTGTATGTGTGTGGCAGTGATTTAGTAAGTGGGCTAGAACTAATTTGCCTTACCGTAGCAGTTTTATTGTGTGGGGGTCTGTCTGTCTGTCTGTCTGTCTGTCGGGCAGGGTAGGGTTTAGGGTAGGGCAATTCCGGCAGATGGGGATATATAAGCCTTTTGCCGGCGGGCACGGGTTGGTGGTGGTGGTGGTGGTGGGGGGTCCGCGGTCCCAGTGTCTTGGGTGTGCTCTCATCATACTATACTCGGTATGTATCATAGATAGATAGACTTGGCCCGGTTCTGCAAAACACCTGATGAAACGTAAAGGGGGCACTTGTACTAGTACTAGTATCATACGTAGTTCGTTTTTTCCATGCCGCTGTCAAACCGATCAACTAACCGGCCCGCGTCGACGAACAAGGTGCTCGTTTGTTTTTGTTGTGGCCCTCGATAAAAATAAAAATTAAAAAAAAAAAAAAATTCCCCCATTTACGCATTTCGAGTTCAAGGGATCCGGTGTGTGTATCATAGCGTGAAATCCTGGCGGATACAGGTACAGTACAGTACAGTACAGTACTCGTACACTACTACACTCGAAACTTGGCACTCCCGGTCCTAAATTCTGTACGAGTACTGTACCTTCTAATACCGGTACCGCATGTTCTTCTCCCACGGTATGGGCCGCAGGTACAGTACAAGTATAAAAACTGAGACACACACATCGTGTTCACTACCTTTCAGCCATTCAAATGGCCATAAAAGTACGGTACCTGGTCCTCCCCCCCACCCCACTGGTGCCCACGTGCAAACTCGCATTGTTGATCGTGGTGCTCGCCACGTGTGATTAGGGGGGGATAAGCATGCGGTATCACTCGTGAGCCGAGTGATTCCGCTTTTTTTGTTTTTTGGAAAATTTAATACAGTATCATAGTGGCTTGCATGTTCCAACACAGGAAATGTCGTCACACGTCTTTGTTAAGTTACCCCCTACTGTGTTTTGTTCCCGCGTCAAGTTACTCACCCTTCTCATTTTATTCTTCTACTTGCTGTATTCCTCTCCTCCTCCTCCTCCTGATTCCCCTTAATATCGATCAACTGGGAACTTCTCTTCCACATATTTCCCTCCGTGTTCACGCGGGGGATACTTCAAACACTTTTCTCCACAGTGGCGGGATGAAGGGGGAGGATGAGAATCTTCAAATGGATTAGGCCTCCGGGCTCTTCTATGGGCTCATTATGATGTCATACTGTGAGTACAAACCCATGTTCCTGTCCCTGCCATGGGAACTGCCTATACGAGTGATAAACCATGATGAGAGTTACAACCATGTTACCTAACTTTCCCGTTCCCATGAAAAAAATTATGTTCCCTCCGGTCCTCCTCCTCTGCCTCCTTCATCATCTCGATGAGCCTGCACGCTGCCAACTCCCCGAATGCCTCTTCGTTTATCCCCACCCCCTCCACCCTCAACTCCAGCCTAGGTTCGTTCTCCAGGACTCCCCCTAATCCCTCCACTAGCTTCTCCTTAAACCTCTCGAACCTAACTCTCCCTTCCCAGGGTCCCCGGCGGCTGGACAGCGAGCTGAATCCGGTCATGGGCAACCAGATTGCCGTCCGCCACGGCTTCTCCAAACTCCCGACTATGCGCTCGGCCATCCTGGTCCCCAACATGCCCATCTCCTCGTCGTTCACACACATGAGGGTGACAGAATCGTTGTGCACGAGCAGGTCCCTATTCCGGAACCTCTCGGGTACCGTATCCCTCGCCCCGAAATTCACGCAATCCAACGCGCCGGTAGAAATGACCTGCGGGATTCCCATCCTTGATGCGGCCGTTAGCCGCTCCTCTCCAGCGCTCATGACCCCGCCGATGAGCTCGTCGGCCAATTCCTTCGTGGTGAGGTCCAGCACCCCGTCCATTTTCCCTTCCATGATCAATTTTTCCATGGAGCGGCCGCCGGCACCGGTACAATGGAAGACGAAAACTTCGCAGTTCTCTCTCTCCAGCACCTTCCGCGCGTGGGTCACGGCGGGGCTGGTGATGCCGAACATGGTTATCGCGACGGCCAGCTTCTTTGGTGTTGAAGGGGGCGCTCGGTAGATGGCGTGGTAGGACTCGGCCATACCGATGATCGCGCCCGCGGCATTTGTGAGAATGGCCGAGAGTATCGAGTTCATGCCTGCGATGTCGACGACGGAGTACATGGTTGTTATGTCGGAGTCGCCGATGAAAGGGCTCATATCGCCAGCGGCCATGGTCGAGACGATCATCTTTGGGAATCCGATCGGCAGCGAGGAATTCCGCATAGCGCTGGTCGCCAGCCAAGTGCCCCCGGATCCGCCGATCGAGATGACCCCGTGCAGGGAGGAGAGGGATAGCCTGGAGTTTATGAACGGTACCAGTGCTTTCGACATACTCGATATCACGACGTCGCGGGGAAGCTCGTCGAATCCGGCGGGCGGATTGGGCAGCAACATGCTGTGTGGGATGTCAATTGCCGGGTGGGCGACAGGGGCGCGGCCAACATCGGCGAGGAGGACCGTGGGGGGCCGCGAGTTCTCCAATAGCGCATTTTTGAGGAAGAGGAGTTCAGATAATTTGGTGTCGCAGGTGCCGAACAAAAGTATTGTCGGTCTTGCGGGTGCTGGCAGATCCATGGTACTCGAGTACGTCGGGGTCGGGTTTATGGATCGTGAATTTGTGACGCACGCGCGGGAGGAAGGGGTGGGGGGGAGACATTGATGCAGGGCAGCTATCATGCTCGAGTACTGTACTGTACTGCGCAAGTGCTTCACTGGTGGCTTGGCCTGCCCCTATTATTTCCATGCCCAACATTCAACGACAAGGGTTCGGGTCTACTATTTGGCGGCCTCAAACGTTTTTTGGTGAATGTGTGATACCGGTGGTACTCGTAGACTATTAAATTTTTTACCCGGTTCGCGTCGCGAGCAAAACATCGCAGTAAACTATTTTACAGGAACCATGATAGAGGGATACCTTGGATTTTGAGTTTGTAAAGAGACCTAATTGTAAGGGGCCACGCCGACAGGATATTTTTTACTGTAACATATTGAGGTCCATTTTGGCACACCATATACCGTACTTGTAAACGGACGTTTTTGTTTTCTGTGCCTCACGCCCTTCTCTCGCGGGCGAAACGCTTTTAAAATTGCACTCCTCGGTTACAGCCCGACTCGCTTCCCTCCTGATTGACTTTTTTTTTTATCATAAGGGTAAGAAGGGGGTCTGCTATGTGGATATGCCTTTCCTTTTTTTTTTTTTTTTTTCCTCCGGGTTTTGTCGGAAATTTGGGTTTCGCCGGAAGGGGATTGAATTTTTTTGAGTTGTAGCGCGCCGGGCGGGGTCTCAGAATCGTTACTGTAGGCGAAAGAAGTTGTGGGGTCAAGTTTTGCGAGCAACGGAAATGCTATTATTTGGGGTTGAAATTTATGGATTCTTTTTTTTTTTTTTTTTTTTTTTTTTTTTAAAAAAAAAAAAAAAAACCGCAATAAAAGATGAAGGGGCAATATGTTATGAAATGAATGAATAAATATATGTATATGTTCCATCTTACTGACAGATCTTAAGTTTGCTGATGAGATGTGCTCTTTATAATCATCTACCTCCTCCATAAAGTAAATTTACTTTTACTTTTAGTACACATGTAAGATAGTAGATATTATTTAACTATCCTATAGCTTTTCTTAATCAACTAGTGTTAAATTGGTTAGAAAAAAAATGTAACATGGAATTATATCTTTTACTACGTAGTAATATATAGGATATAATATTATTTGCTGGTCTGGTAATATGAAAAGAGATTTATAAAAATAAGATAATTGGATTTGGGTATTTAAAAGAATTCATAGGAATTAGGAAACCTTTTTCTTCAAATTTTATAACGATTAATTATTAATCGACTTGGACTACCTGTTTTATAATACTATAATATTATTATTATACCTAACTATAGAAACTCCCGTCAGAAGTCTCTTTGAATTGAAATGTTTTATTCTACAGGAATAATAACTACTATAAATTTTTTTTATTCAGGTTACTAATAGTTGAAAGCATTTTGCCAAAATATAAAAGGTAAGATAATAGTTTAGTGGAATAATAATAACTTAGTTATCCTTTCAGTTGTAAAAACAATATTGATAATCCTAATACTTGAAGTTAACTATGGGGAAAAATTGAGAGAAAGTAAGAAATTGTCTTTTATGAAGTTCAAGTTTAGTATCTAACAGGTTTAATTTTCCAAATACTTAACTACTATTAATCTAACTAATTTCGACTTTGCAAATATATACAAGTGGGACATTTTAAAGGAATAGACTATAAGTAAAAGTAGAAACAACTTGAACTATAATTATGTTGATATTGTTAGGAATACCAGAACCTGATACCTAGGAACCACCCTAAGTAGGGTAACCCCACTTGGAATTGGAATCTCTGGTCTCCAACACCCCCCTCCGGCTCCCTTACGGGGCCCACACGTCATCATATATATCAATCTCAGTTGCATCCTGTGACTATATTACCACAGAATTGAAGGTGTTAGAATAACACCATATACGTCGCCGCTGTCTCTCCGACCAGATCCTGTTCATAGGATATATAAGAGGGGACCTTCGGCTAGGTCTGAGAAGTGGAACAGAGTGATTCCGTCAACTACTCAGAGAGTTACTTGACTCCAAAGACATGATACCTTTGGCACAGGCCATAAGTAATGGGATGATTTGCACAAAGAGATGGTATCAAATGGTAAAGGATCTCTACTAGAGACCAATACATTTACATCCACCAGAAGAGTCTAGAACTCTAAAAAAACACTACCAAAGAAGCCAACGAACTTCATGGAGTGTGGCAACTGGGTTTTGGAACATGTCGTAATCATAGGTGATCCTTAATACTACAATGGTTACTGAAACCTATTACCCAGAGAGCAACCAAGGGTTGCCGACCAAGAGATTAATTACCAATCTGGTGGAATAGCTTCCTATGAGTTGATAGGAAGTCATCCAGAGAAAATCTATTGGTTGGGTATGGAGTTACAAAGGATCGGAATCAGACGACCTATATTGGTTGTCGATAATGATGACCACCTTTGCAGATATAGCCATGGATAAAACTGATCATTTTATCAATGGCAAAGACAATTGGAGCCAACTCAGTTCAACTTAAGAACTAGGCCATAAGTCCAAAGACTCTACTAATCGGGATATTACTATTGGAGACAGTACGTTTCCTAAGAAGAAATATTGTCATTACCAAAGAGGGTGTGATGGTTTTCAGGGTCTACAGGTGTTCGCACCTTGGAAGAAAACTCGACGTTGTAAATTACGATTAAAGAAGTACATAGTTGTATGATAAATAGATGTAGTCCGCGAACACTCAGACGCGGAATATAAATATCGAAGTGCCTCCCAAGCTTTAGACATTATCAAGCAACGGAGAAGAGACCTTAACAATATAATATTGTTTTTACGATTCTACCCTACTTTACCTACTTTACTTCGCTCCTAGTAGTCATAAACGAAATGAGCTAAGTCTGAGCCTTCCTAGACAATCTCCGTCTACAAAAACGAATCTTGATTGGCCTAGACAATTTTGAAGTTTATCAAGTTGTCTCCGCCTAACAGGTATATAGATGAGGTAAAGTTGGTATTTCTTATAAAACAACTTGGTGAGGGGGATGAAAATGCAAGTACTTATGATACTCAGTTGCATATAGACTATCAAGTACTCGGGTAAAGTGATCTTGACTAAGAGTATATGTGCTGTTCAGGTTGGTCAAGTAATTTGTTTGGCGGGTGAGATAGAACAGAGGCCAAACTTACTTATATAAGAGCTCTGATTGGAAAGTTTCTGACCTTTGTCGCAAATTATGGTTTATAACCACCGTAGAAATTAACGCAAAATGATCCCTAAGAGTATTGTGAGATACCGGTACTGTATCATACATGAGTTTAATTTCATTGCTCCTTTCTGCCTTTTATTTATTCCTCATATGAACCCCTTCCTTCTACCGACCACCTTGACAAAAAAGAAAAACAGTTTCACTTCTAGCAGCGGGCGAATCTCGCCAAATAATGCGGTCATAAATTCCAGAGCAGCCGCTAGAGACTTCATTTCCTACAAAACCCTGCTCCCTGGGTGAGGCCCTACTGTACGAAAGCGTGTTCCCGGGTGCTTGTACCGAAACACCACTTTTTCTAGAAAAGTTGTCTTTTCTTTCGGAATATATTAAATTTCAAATTGTGCAGATTGGACAGGCCCTTAATTGCTTGAAGGAAGAAAAGGGATGTACGGTATGAACATGGGTTAGAGAGAGTTTATGAAAAGAGATGAGGACTAAGTTAGGTTGCTGGAGCACATATATAGACTAAAATAATCAGGGGAAAAATAACTTTTATAGGTATGATGGGGTTGTAATCTGATTTGGGTATCATTTCCATGTCCTCCGTATATCACTAGCGCCTCCCGTTCTAGAGGGGTAGTCAAAGAAAAGGAAAGACATCCGCTATGCGTCACAAAAATGGTTAGTGGAGATCAAGCTTGACTGACGGAGTATCTATAGAAGAGAAAATAAAATAAGGAACAACTAGTCGGATTGACTCGGTATTGATCCGATATAAGGGACGAGAGTACCGTGTCCGAAAATACCGCCTACTGAGCAGCTTCCAGTTTCATCTATCAGAGGCTTTGCAGGTGACTTGCTTCTAGATGTGACATTTCCCAGTTTTTGATTTTAATGAGACCTCCGAATGTTGATATGTAGGGAATTTCTTGGTAAGGGCGGCGAATGCGGTGCAATGGCCACGTTGGTGGGATTTCGATAGTAGGTAGCCGTAGTCACTCACCGCTCCTTTATATATCGTCCGTGAAATTTTATCCGTGTTGCAAATATCAAGCGCCCCCGCTTCCTCCTTCCTGGACCTGAGCCTCAGCTGAGATGGTTGCCATGAGTACAGTACACAAACGAAAGTCGGGCACCTTGACAAAGTCACTGGTGACGGTGATGACGTGGCAGGGTTCAATGTTCCTGGTTCCGGTCTCTGATTCTCACCACTCTCTATAGTAGTTGTTGAGAAAGTGCCTTATACTCTCACTCCCGTTCTCTTCTGCGTGCTGGGCAGCGACTCGTCCGCGACTGTCTCTCAGTGGCGTACTGGGTTGGTGATAGAGTACTAGCATCCTCACTACCACCTCATGTCCATGCTTGGCTGCGTAATGGAGCGGGATCATTCGCCGCCATCTACAGCTGGCTGCGAAATCCACTTTATTTTCACAGAGGAATTTCACCACAGCCTCATGTCCCATTTGGGCGGCGTAATGTAGAGGCGCCATACCATCCCTTCCACTGCGAGTGCTGATTTTGGCACCGAGATCGTATAGTAACTTCACGGTAGTGGCATGTCCGTGCCTCGCCGCATAATGAATGGGCTCCCGTCTCTCCCAACCACACCTGGCCTCTATCCTGGCCCCACAATCGATGAAAAACTCCACGGCGGTATCTCTCCCGCCCATGGCGGCGAAATGCAGTGGTGTCATGCGGGACATTTCGCTCGTTGCTGCTAGCATGTTTTTCAATGTAGCTTTCTGCTCGGGGTTGTCTTTGCCGCTGGGTTTCGGGCGGCCTCGTCTGCGAGCCCTC